TCAAGGAACCCTTACGCGCCTAGAACTTGATGTCAAATATGCAGTGCAAGGACTATCGATGGAAACTTGACAAACAAGAGATCCACCATCTCAACACTAAATGGTGCAATTTAATATAATAATGAAAGCACACAACCATATTAGAATTCCCTGTGAGTGATTAGTGGGTCGTTTACTTGTATAACGAAAAGTGATGCTTGACTCAGACCTTTGTTAGTTTGTTGCATAGATTTAGCCACCAACCCTGCACAATAATATAATAAAATGAGCAGCCTTTCTGACCTGTTAGGTAAATAAGGCCTCTGTGTATCAATCTATGCTCTTGCCAAGCCAACAATAAATCCGACCAATACTTATTAGATACCAAAGCCGAGCAGCAAAAGAAAAAGCCAAGTCGAGTTCAAAGCTTATAGACAAAAACTCTCGGCTTGCTCTTTTTCCACTTTGGCAAGAATACCATACTAAACTTCGTGGGAACAATAATATATAGCACAAACATTTTTCTTGATTTCTCCCACACCCCATTTATCATAACTTGTATATAAATGTTTTAGAAAGCATGCAAAAGTTTCCACACACTCAAACACAACATACAGCCATACACAAACACTTGGTGGCCACTCTTTGTTCACAGCCAGCCTTAACATAAAATACTTGAGAGACTCAGAGAGGAGAGAAGAATAGAATGACTAGCGCAGGAGTTGCTGGGATGATGTTTCAGTGTGTGTTTGAAGGAAGCCTCTCAGCGCGGGACTCCGAAATTGAGAGAAGGCCTTACCATAAGAACTGCAGTTGCGCTCTGCACAAGTCCGAGGGGGGTGTTTGCTCCAAGGCTTGTCAAAGGAACATTTCTTTTCCCAAGAAACAGTCATGGAGTGATGGTTCCTTGTGCATGCAGGCAGCAGCTTCTTCCAAATTCTCTTCTCCTCTAGTAGACCACATGTCCACGTCCACAGGAAACAGAGGAAGTGTGAATGGGGTTCATAATTCTGCCTTGTCACATAGACAATAGACAGAGGTTTTCAGAGGCTAGCTCGAATTATATGGTGATTACCGGTGAGTTAGAAGAAATTGAAAGGTTAGTTAGGAAGTGAGAAGCAATTTGAATTGTGAAGTTTCTCATGATCTTATTCTTGCTCCAGCACTATTACTCAAACATCAAATTGATTTTGAGGAAATATTGGTGCTTTGTGGGGTTAGTTTCTTGATTTCTTCTACCTTCATCCAAGTGTAAATTCTACTGAGCACATATTCCTTATGTAATTAAACAATATTGTCACCTTTCTTCAATATAACTGAAAATACCAGTTAAAATAGCAGAACGCTGTGTTTCACTAACCCTATATCTTCACCTTTTTTTGGACGAACCCTAACCTCACTTATCTCTCCTCTCTCCGCCTCCATCACCTCCCATCTCTCTCTACCACCATCGTCTCTCATCTATCTCTGCCTCCGTCATCTCCTCTTGCGCGCCCTTGAAATAAGGTGAGCCCAGCAGCATCAACAAAGAAAAGAAGAAAAATTCAAAGATACCTCTGACGAGTAGAGAAGAAGCCGTCGCCGCCACTGGTTGGGTCTAGAAGAGTAGAGAAGCAGCCACCCGACCCGCCAAGGCCTCCTAGGCGGGCGCCCAAACGCCGCCTAACTCCCTGGCGCCTACCCCTAACGTTTAGAGTGAACTCGCGGCGGTGTTCTCCCGCCTAGGTCAATTTTGCAAAGTTTCTTCTTCTTCTTCTTCTTTTTTTGTGGTGGGGTGAAAAGATAAGAAAACATGTAAAAACAGCATGAAAGATGAAGAAAAAATTATTTTTAATTTTACTCAACAATCATTTGATATTAATTTGTCCTTACCAGCCCTTAAATGTCATATGAATCATCGGATTTTTGACTGGCATTGGCCTAGTGCATGAAAGCACTTGTGACAATAAGAGTAGAACGGAATTGTTTCTGTTCTTAATATGGAGGAGACATAAAGCCATGGCAGAACTAAGCTGGTGGGTGTTGAGTTTTCTGCATATTTTTAACATGAAGCCAACTCACAACAACTAACAATTGCAAGAGTAAATCAGAACAATACACTTAGATCACTCTCAACAAGTCAACAATTATCATAGCATCCACTGTCCACAGAGAGAGAGAGAGAGAGAGAGAGAGAGAGAGAGGTAACACTCTCGTATATACATCTGATATGTACTATGTATAAGCCCTAATCACACCAAGAGTGTGTTATATTGAATCTAGAAAGAATGGCTTCAAAGGAAAAAACACAACAGTTGGCTAGACTTACAGTAAAAAGGGAGTATAGTGAAGTGGTTATTAGTTATTACCAATGAATTTTCTGGTATGGCCTTGGTACTAACAAAGCATGACACAAAGGAATATGTAAGAGAGCCACTGAGACCCATCATTGTTAATATCTGATGAAAAGGGTCAAATTAGAAAGTGGGCCCTTATACTCCTATCAAGCAACGCCATGATTCTTGTTGTAAAAAAGCCAAAGTTCAACACTATATTTTATGTCCTAAGATGACTATTATTCTACTTGTATTAGGTAACAGAATGTGAGAGAGAGAGAGAGACAGAGAGAGAGAGAGAGAGAGAGAGAGAGAGGACAGTGACACCTTGCTAGAAACCGAGATGGTGATGCATAGCAAACAACAGAATTGGTAACGAGATTAGTTAAAAGACGTTATTATGGAGAAAACTATGTTAAAATCCCACAGTTCCAACGATCGCTAAAGCAAGATAATTTATTTGTCCTGGCCTTCTCTCTCCCATTCCCATGTGTGTGTATGGGCAAAACTTAAGGCCCCACATTGAGAAGCTGATGTTCTCAAGAAAAAACAGTTGCCTGGTTGTATAACTACTTTGACAAGGCCACATGAAAACAAAAGCTAAAAAGAATAATGCTTTTGCAAGAACCACCGTAGTAAACTTATATTGAGTTTAACGGGGCCATACCATATTACCATAGCAAACTTCTCCTGAGCTCAATGAGGTAACGAAACTAACAAAAATTCTACTCTTGATTACTCCAACACTTCCGTGAAGAAATACCATCCTTGGTCTATATAAATATGTAACAGAAAGTACTTTCGAAAAAACATATGTAGCAGAAAGCAAGCAAAAAATTTAAGAAATTTAATTCACACATACACAGTAACACAGCCGCACTCAAACCTTTACAAAGAAATCTTAGGAGAAAAAGAGAGGTAGGAGAAATGGCCACTGGAATAGCTGCCATGATGCTTCGAAGTGTCATTGAAGTAAGTATATCAATGCATGATATGGAGATTGAGCATAGGCCATACCATCGCAATTGCAGTTGTGCACTGCACAAGTTGAAGAGTATTTGCTCCAATGCTTGCCCTCCTCAACAAAGGAATATTTCGTTCCCCAAGAAAAAGCCTCCGTCTTCTAAGCGGCTCATCACTATGTGGAACAAAGAAGACCCGAATGCGCCATGTCATGTAGAGGACAAAGTTTAGAGAGCTTGACACAGCAGAGCAAGAATAAAAAGGTCAGGAAACTGCGATTTAGCTGTTTCTCTCTCTCCTCCTCCCCCCACCCCTTCTCTTTCTTCTTGTAAAATCATGTCCTACTTTCATTTACTCTTTATGACACAAATTGCACGCAAAAGATACCAATATATGTTGGGCTCAAATGCCCTTTTGTTGCGTAGAAAGAGTCTCTCATCTCAGACGTACTTCATGAATATCTGTTATATCTCCACAAGCTCCCGCCTTTATCTTCCTCATCCTCCTTTAAGAACCATTCATCAAACGGAACAAGGAACTCAGTCTCCTCTGTTTCACCTATTACAATCTCTCTTTAAAATGTAGACAGGCCAGGCATGGGGTTAGAGGTTCAAGTCCTACACAGACAAAGACAAAGGAGGATTTTGGGGATGGTGGGGAGGTATATGTTTCACCAAGCACCTACTCTACACTACACACACAAATAGACACATAGATGATGCAGGGTTCATAGATCCTAGCTGATATTACTAGCTACATCTATACAGCTACAGTCAACAGACTCTACAGACTACACCAAGATATGAACCAAACAGATTGCAATTTAGGAACAGGAAAGAACATTACTCATCCATCTTGATATTGAAAGCTCTTCTCTTGAGGGGCCATGGCAGCCTATGTTGCACGGATATGGATATGGATACGGATACGGGTGCGCCAATACGATGCAATCTGTCGATACCGCAAAACTCGCCACCTCGATCTCCCCCACGTCTTCTTTCCGATGCGTACCTCCTGATGCATGAGCATCCATCCTAGCCAAAAAGAGATAAGTTTTAGCTATATTAAGTTAGGAGTAATGCTACTTTTACCACATTCTCATATTACCTTATATAGCAGATGAAGTGGACAACTATGTCAATTAAAAAGTGTCAATAAATCATAAAATAAAAGAAAATGTTAAATTAATTTTAATTGATGTAGTTGTTCACCTCATTTGCCAACTAAGGTGGTACAGGAATGTGGCGTACAAATGTGGTAAGAATAGCATTATGTTTTCATATATTTACTAGGATTTAGTTAAATACGGCGATTAAAATAATCTATATATATAGATAAAGCAAAATAGAGAGAATTGTGAAACATTCAAAATTCCAGAAAATGTCATTGGTTAATGCAAATACTAAGAATTGAAATTATTAATTAAATGAGGGTAATATGATAAATTCACACCTTTTCATATTTAAAAAAATTAAAATTAAAAAAAAATTCATATAATGGATCCTATTTTTATGGATCATAATTACCTATTATCTTTTTTAATTCTAAAATAAATTTAAATTAAAAAAAAAAAAACATTTCTCAAGCGCAAAAGCGCGTGCAGAGAGGCTAGTATAAATAACAAAAACTAATATTGCATCCCTCATGTTTTTATTATCCATTAAGTTCAAAACATAAAACTAAAAACCAATTAATACGTGTAACCAAATTAAATGCATTTTGATAACAATAAAAAACGTGCAGCACAGTTTGCTCCTTAAAAAATGGGTCAGCCCTCTTAAAAAAGAAAAAAGAAAAAAAGGTTTATTCCTCTAAACATGCGTTCGCTCTCTTCTTCTTCCTCGCGCAGCAGCGCAACTTCTTCCAAAAAACCTTTGCTTGTATCCATAAGCGTTGTCCACAAAGGAAGAGGTACAATTGCAGTGGAATTAGAGACACAAATTTGGGTTCTGTTGACTTGTTTGATTTGAATAGGATTGTGTTGGAGTTTGATGATACTTATGCTTATAGACTGAGAATACAAGCAAGCATTTTTGAAGCAGAATTGGCAGTAGAACACGTTGCAAAGAATGATAATGAAGTTTTGACAATTCGCGAGGAACAACAGCTCTTGTACGGGAACAGTGTAACTTGTCCAACTCTTCAGTCATCTCCCAGTGCAACAAATAGGCGTTCCTTTGACATGATGAGCACTTGTTTCTCTCCAGTTGTGCAATCTCAGTCATCTCCCAGTCTAAAGCTGCCGTTTGGTCCTGCCATCCCAGATTCCATGTCACAATGCAAGTCCGGTAAGGATTCTCTTGCAGCGGATTTATTCATTTCATTTAAGCAGAATTTAATGGTTGATTTTTTATTTTATTTTAAATGTTCTTGACTCTCTGGTGGATATCTTGAATTGGATTTATTTGTTTTCAAAATCAAAAGATTTTCTTGAACTTCTCCCTTCAAGAATACTTAATAATAAAAAATGAACAATTGGGTTGTGTTTATTAAGCTCTTAAGATTTCAATTTTGAGGAAGGATAGAAAAGAGGGAGATAAAACAAAGGAGAGGATCCTCTTCGTTCATCTAATACTGCTTACGGATTGAAAAAAAGTGTTGAAAAATATTTACCTGCCCATTGGTTTCTGGCTAAAAAAGTGTTGGAAGTTTTTTTTGCTGGAAAAGAAAGTATTGAAGTAAAGATACTCGTTTCGTAGTAACTAGCAATACATGATCTTGCCTACATATGATTGTGATTGATTTTTCATCAATGAGAGCAATTATACTATAACGCATAATCATAAGATATAATTCTATCATACAAAGATCATGAGATTACAGAAAAACAGAGTAAGCTATTTGAGTTGGAGTGATCAAGATTCTAGAATACCCTACTGTGACAGATATAGATTCTGGAATATCAGCTTCTGTTGCCATTAATCTGCAGATAGTGGATTCTGAGGCGCATGAAGGAACTTTGTTTTGAATCCAAACTCCAAAAGCTAGCTCAAACTTTGGAGCTTTTAATTTGAATTGAATCCACGGATGCAGCTAGCAAGCTTTTTACGTCTGCCTTTGTTGCTGCTGCTGACTATCTTTGCAGCTTTTGAGTTAAGTGTTTTTTTCTTCATTAGATATCTTTATTAATCTATTGATAGTTATATTAGCAAAAGCAGCAGTCACGGGAACTGACAAAATTGCCACTTTTTATATGCAATGTATGGATGAGTTGGCCACTAATGCAATGGTTGGCAGCAAAGCATGTCATTCTTTCTCATTTCTACCTGCCAGAAAGTAGGAGCAAGATAAATGTTTTTGTACCCATTTTATTTAATTATCTTCTACACAAGATAAAAGGAGAAACAAGAAAGCCAAAATAAATATCCCAGGCCTCTGCTTCAACACTCAATATAAGCTTCATCATATGAACAAATACATAGGCTTGAGAAAGAACCATACACTTAGCTCCCTGTTTCAGTACAAAGGGAATCTACTAGCACTAAGGAAGCTTTGACAGTTAAGCAACCAAGGGGAGTAGTCTGCCGGCGAAAGGCTGGCCTGACACAGGGCAACCTTTTGGTATTAGTTGGTGAGTGCTTATTTTTATTTCTTTGCATTGTTCATCTCTATCTCTGCACTGCCTAATCATGTACAAGATACTTTAGTTTGTATTCATCATATCCAATGCAATACTACTGGGCAAAGGAGAATTTGAAGGAATAGATCATTTAAGCACACACATAAGCACAAACTTGAAAACAAAGAACAATGACAGATTTGTATAGGGGATTAAGGAAACATGCACCTCTCTATGTCTGTCTCTCTCTATATATTAATATGTCCCTCAAGATGGAAAGACTGATATGCTTCCTCTTTTTAATCTTTTTTATAGGATATGATTCCTCTTTGGTATACACCTTTTCTATTTACCTCAAGTTTTTGACAGAGACACAGCCATGCCATCCCATCCAGATTGACTTCTCTTCTTCATAAATGGCACCATTTTAACAAATGGTAGGAAATCCTCTAGCAGCGTCATTTCGTACATACAGATTATATGGTGATATAGCCCGCACCGCCCGCTTTAACTAATGTACTAGAACATCAAAACACCTTCAAGTTTGGGTATTGGAAGAAGGATCTCTTTCTTTTCAATTTGGTAAGGAAGCAGAGCAACTCCTACTACTTGTGATATACGCAGCCAGCAGAATACTTAGAGTGAGCAGGAAGCCCAGCAACTTTTTCTCCTGATTTTAGTTTGTGGGCGACAATAAGAAAAGGTGACCTAAAAGGCTAGAATTCTGCATCATTCACTACAATTCAGCAAGTATAGAGCAATGCTATGGACCAGGTTGCTACTAAGCTTACTCAAAATTAACCAAATGGTAAATATGAAGATTACGAAACCAGATTTACTTTTCAAATTTCCTTGCAGAGCCGAAACAGAAGAGTTACCCCAAATTTAATCAGGCAGTGGATTCAATTTACAGCATCCTATCCCATAGCATGATAGCAGAAAAGAAAACACAACTGCCCTATCTTCACACACACAGATTACATAAACAGTGACAAACAGGCAAATTATCTTCACAGATGATCAAACAAATAATACTATCATTTCAAAACAACATGCAGATTGATTCAAGTGCCAAAATTAGGGGAGAGATTCAGAGTTGTACCTTTTTACTGAACTCAAAGACTCCATGCCAGCCAAAGCTTCCTACTCTCTTTTTTAACTGACCAAAGCTTCCTAGCGAAAAGAAAATTTACAAACTACTTTAAAATAAAAAATAAAAAATAAAAAACCATAATTTTACGACCCTAATTAATTATCCAAAAGTAGGCCCCATCATCCTCCTCCGTGGCTGGCTATCTATCTCTCTGTCTCCTCCAAAGCCCCAAATCAAAAGCATGCCCAATCCAACCCAACCAAACCAACCGGAGCCTAATGGGCTACTCTGTGACCACACCACCCGGTCCGCCTCCCATTCTCTACAACCACCACCACCCCAACCCGAAGTCCATTACACACTTGACCCGACGCTCCCTCCTCCTCTCCGCCCCACTCTCCCTCACCCTCCGGCCACCACCATCGTCCGCTGCAGCATCTCCTCCGCCACCCGACACCACCATTACCGACCGCGTCTTCATGGACTTCAGTCTCTGCCCCACCTACTTCCGCCCCTTATCCTCACCCGACTCAAAACCCGCCCTCTGCCCCGACTCGCTCCCGTTGGGCCGGCTCGTCCTCGGCCTGTACGGCCACCACGTCCCCCTCACCGTCTCCAACTTCAAGTCCATGTGCACCTCCTCCGCCTACAAGGGCACTCTCGTCCACAAGCTTTTCCCCGGCCAATTCTTCCTCGCCGGCCACCAAGGCGACAAGCCCGGCGACGTCCGCCGCCCCACGGGTCTCGCCCGAAACACCGAGACCGTCGATTCCAAGGCCTTTGCTCTGACCCATTCCCGCCCCGGCCTCCTCTCCCTCAACCTCTCCGAGAACGACGACGAAGACGACATCAAGCTCGACCCGGATTACCGAAACGTCGAGTTCTTGATCACCTCTGGGCCCGGCCCATGCCCCGACCTCGATTACAAGAACATCGTCTTCGGCTCAGTGCTCGAAGGTTTACTCTTTCTGCAAGATTTGATTTTTATTATTTTCAAAATTTGAGCTTGGTTAGTTTAATTGTGTTTTGGTTTTGGTTATGAAGGTTTGGATATTGTGACGGCCATTGCTGCTATACCTACATACAGACCATCTGAGAAAATACAGCAATTCAACGATTTTGCAGAATTTATTGGGGATGAGAGAGCGATGAATGCTCGGGCTCTGTGGAACAAGCCTCTGAAAACAGTGTATATCAGTGACTGTGGTGAGCTTAATGTGGCAAAGCCTTCCCTTTCTCCTCCTAGTCTTCCTTAATTGCATCATATATATACATACATATATACATATATATATATCTGTCATTATTGTGCGCTGATTCAATGATTTTGTTGAGAGCCTTGTAATTGTATGTAAATCTTCTTCTGCAAAGATTTTGGAATGAGCACATTACATGCTTCATGCATTTGATGCATGAAAATGTTATATTACAGGACTTGCATCTTTTAGTGGCAGAAAATGATGTTCAATCTGATCCCAGTGAACCAATTTAAGTATTTACAGACCTCTTTTGATGCATATAATGCAAGCTGTACTGCTTACACAGAGCATGAGTGTGTGATACTCTAATCAATTTACATTTTGTGGCACAATCTCAAGGTTAGATGATAGAGCAACTCAAGGGAAAACTCACAAATCATGTGGAGGATAGTCATTTTATAGTGAGGGACTTATATTGGCCTTTAGGTGAGGTATTATCTCTTAACCGTTGAATCAGGCTAATCAATTTGATTCAACGGCTAATCAATTTGATCCAACGGTTAAGAGATAGGTCATCACCTAAGGACCATATATAAAGCCCTCACTTTAGAATTCTTGGTGAGGGGATAAACGAGAACGTAGGTTGTGATGCTTGGTGGCTGAGCTCAATTGATTTGATATTATCTGTTATGTTAAGGCGTCAAGGTGTTGGGTTGTTTACGGAGAAGATGAGTGCAATTAAGATGATAGGTGTTAGAAAAACCTTGGAGTTGGACCATGAACTCCTTTTTTTCGTGCTGCCTCATTTCATATTCATACAGTAGCTGTGAATATTTGTCCACCCACCGGAATAAGAATTGGACTCATAATTTGATATGTTTCAGTTTTTATGGACCTAACTTTGCTCAGTTGCAGCGGAGTGAGTGATAGAGGAACAATGACATGTAAGTTGGGCTTCGCCTTGAACTTTGTCTGGGCCTAGCTCTGTTCTATTCCTGTTGAGAGATAGATGGGTTTTTGTCTTGATACTTGGCAAAGAATTTAGGAAAAGTGAAAAAGAAAAGAGTGTTGTGCTGTGCTATGTATGTAGTTGATGGTGCAGTGCAGTGCAGGGATAAGATCCAAGATAACCATTGGGGGGTGGGGCCACTGATTCATTTAACCATTGGATGCATCCCATCCATCCATATCTGATAAGTCTGTAGACTGTGTAGCTGACTTGTGCATGCATGGGCATGGGCATGGGCGGATTCTTTCTTTTCTTCCCCAAAAGAAAAGTTGCAAAACAAAACATACAACCAGGAGATGTGACCTTCTCCCCCTTCATCGGGTCATTGCCCGAAGAATCAAAATCAAATCAACTTCTCATTACACTTTTAACATTTCTACAAATTTATTTCAATATGCCTCTTTCCACCAGTGTCATTAAATTGCAGGTGATTTCTCATCATTAACCAATATTTAATCCTCAGAGATCATTAACCAAAATTAGATAATAAATAATAGTTTGAAACTAGCACGAGTCAATTTCAGGAAACCAACTACTGTATCTATTACCATTATACAGAGAACTTGGATCAGCGCCACATTGGGCCCCACAGTTGCAGACCCAAAGCACAAAACGATGAAGAGTTCCCCTTTTCTTTTCTTTTCTTTTCTTCCGGGCATTTACGTAGTAGAACATGTCATAGATAATAGGTATAGGGTGGGGACCACGAACAGGCGAGCGTGAAGGGCCTGCTTCTGCTCATATGCTGTGTGTGAGTGACTTCAGCCGCCAGCGCCTCTCTCTCCTCTCCCTCTCCAATCTACGACTGTGGAGTCTCTGATGAGTAACTCTATTCGCATTCGCAATGGGCAGGTGGTCCCCATCTTCCCGCTGCTTTTTTACAGCTGTACGAACAGGATTCTCTGACAGTGGCGTGTATTCCCAAGTGGTCCATGAAACCTACCGCGGACACGTGTACTTGTACGGGTCTGAGGTCGCTGTGCTTCGGTAGGGACAACTGACGACTGTCTGACGAGGAACACAAAAGGAAACGTCATTCCGAGTTTGGTGAACTGTCTCCGCTGTAATCACCAGTGCCCATATAAGAAAGAAAGAAAGAAAGAAGGAAAATCTAACGACTTCCGCCTCATCAATGCAAACTGTGTTCCCTCCTTGCTTTCATCCATACATCAAAATAATATTAAGACAAATATTAGCTTATGCCTTCAATATTTCCCTTCATTTTCAAATTTTTGTTAATGAAAGAGCTTTGATCATTACAAGTCCGCGTAAATTACAAGGTGTAGTTCACAATTCCATATTTATTGAATTCATGACACAACTAATGAAAACTTAGTAAAATCATATATGGAGATGTGCATGCGAACAGATTGATGTGAGAATGCTAAAGATGACTAGTTTTTTTTTTCAATATTTATAAGTCGAGTACAATGGTTACTGTGGAGGGTGCACGGGGTCATTGGGTAATGCTTAATAGGCGCTCGTTTGATATGTAGATATCAAGTCATGAATTGGATATACTATAATGAAAGTGTATGTTATGAAGATTACGTATCATGTTTTTTGTGAACTTTTTATATTTAGTATGATTTGTGTTGAATTTTAAGTATGTATGTTTTAAGAGTCGATTACAAATTTGATTGCCTTGTATACCGAATTTTGATATTGAAGTATGATAAATGGCAAAAAATACGAGAGATTGAAAAAATTAAAAACCTTTTATACTTGTTTTGAAAAGTCATTCTTATATATTTTTTTAAAAACTCGAATAATTTTTTATTTCTTAGATGTAAGTACAATATGGACAATAAAAAATTAGAATCATTTAAATATTCGCGTATTAGTGAATGCATATAAATAAAAAATAGAATGATTATGATATCAATTATTGATAAGTAAACATGCCATAACACGTAAATGTACAAGAAGGGCAACATAGAAGGACCGTGAGAAGGATCAAATGATGCGCGCTTATGGAACATCATATATATATATATGGGTTTTACATGAGCAGGTAATGCTCTCTTGTCTATATAGATTTGTTATGAATGAATATTTTATTGAGCGGTGTCCTGCTATTTTGTCTTTGTCTTGTAAAGCTATGTTGTTTGAGAGCGTAACCCAAGGGTTAAAGGAGAAAAGTTGCTTCTGACAAAATTAAAAATAAAGGAGAAAAGTTGCTGCCTTCCTGCCTACTTTCCTTCCTCTCTCTCTCTCTCTCTCTCCATTTTAAAATAATATATTTTACATAAACGATTTCAATGTCGAGTGCTGTCCTTCCTGCATATCAAGGGGGTGGAAGCTTGTCTCAAAATCATGTTAGAAACTTCTTGCAACACTACAAAATCTAACTTATACAAAATCTGTGTTATATTTTATATGCCTCCAAAATTGGTACGTCAGATATCCCAAGGGGTGGAGTATGGAGCAATTAACAATCACAATGACAATCACGCCCCAAAATGCCACCCAACGGTCCAAAACATTTCAATAATTTTTCCATCATATCTCACCGTTGGATGCATTGTGAGCTTTCTAGTCATCAATGGCTACTTACACCTACAAGTCTACAACACATTACAATTTTCAATCATCAATAAATCAACGTTTGTCTTATTTACTGGGAACTGCAACTCCCAATTACATCGCCACGTGGCACTCTATCTCACCGTCAAAACATCCTCCTCGGTCCTGGCGTCACCCATCCATCACTCAACAAAGTCGTCGTCTCCCAAAAAAAGAGCTTCTGCACTCCTTTAATTGCTTAATCAAGCATTCAAGTTTCAAACTTTTAACAGCACCACTTTCTCTCTAACTCAGAACAACACAATTTTTATTTTTTTTCCTACCTCTCTCTCTCTCTCTCTCTTTCTCTTTCTGCTCCAAAAACTGCTTTTTTCCAAACCACGTTTTCTTGTATGTACTGAAACTAAAAGCTCTCTCTGCTTTTTTTTACAATTTAATTGCGAAGACCAAAGTAATGGCGTTTCATCATCATCATCATCACCAGCAGCAGCAAACCCCTCCAGAAATGGCGTTCCACTCCTTCGCCTCGGACCCGCCGCCTCTCTCCGGAGCTCCGACGTGGCTCAACAACGCCGCGTTTCGACAACAGAACAACTTCCTCCACGACGCGCGAAACGACGACGTCGTCATATCACCGTCGGGGAAGAGCAGCAACTGCAGCGGCCGGAACCGGAGAGAGATAAGCGGCTACGACGGCGAAGAGGAGGAAGAAGACGAACTGGAGTGCGAGAGCGCGAGGTTCAAAGCGGACTTAGTGGGCCACCCTCTGTACGAGCAGCTTGTATCGGCTCACGTCTCGTGCTTGAGGATCGCCACCCCGGTCGATCAGCTGCCGAGGATCGACGAGCAGCTCGTGCAGTCGCAGCGCGTGGTGGATAAGTACTCTGCGCTTCGAGCCAATGGGGATGTCCCAGTGATGGATGAGAAAGAACTTGATTTATTCATGGTTAGTTTGTTTAAATTAAATCTCTTTCAACACTGAATTTTTCATTTCCTATGATCTCTTTTTCTTGTGTTGTTGTTGAAAGTCTAAAACTTTATTTATTTCGGGTCTGGATATTTTAGTGGGAAAGTGCAAATATGGTTGATCAAAATAATAATCAGAGTGTCATGTAATTAGTTTCAGTGGCAACGAAGAATCCTGTTGTTCAATTCTCCAATTATTCATCTTTACAAGTGCTTTGGAGAATCTTTTACTCTTTGATTAATTTGTGTCATATTTCCCCCACTTACTAGTTTTGATTAGTGGCATGCTGTGGAATCAGAATCTGTTCTGCAAATAAGTGTCGAGTCTTGTTGATGTAAATGGTTTAGTCTTCTAAAGATTAAATTGTTTCTGATATTTTTCTCAACTTTTCCTCTCTCACCTTCCCTCCTTGTCTTTGTTCATTCTGCTACTGTAGACGAACTATGTTCTACTGCTATGCTCCTTCAAAGAACAATTGCAGCAGCATGTCCGAGTTCATGCCATGGAAGCAGTGATGGCTTGTTGGGAGCTCGATCAATCTCTACAAAGCTTAACAGGTCATTTCCACTTCTTTTCATATTTCTACATGTACAGTAGATAAGTCGCAAGTTTACGAATGGTTTATAACTGAACAGCTTGGGATGCATTGACAGGTGCGTCTACTGGTGAAGGCACCGGTGCTACAATGTCCGACGACGATGACCAGGTCGACAGCGACATCAACTCGTATGATGGAAGCCTGGACGGGCCTGACACCATGGGATTCGGTCCTCTCGTTCCGACTGAGAGTGAGAGGTCCTTAATGGAGCGTGTAAGGCAAGAATTGAAGCATGAACTGAAACAGGTATATGAACTATAAGACTTGCAAAGCATGTATAATATATTTGCTAGATGGGATATAGAAATGTAGCTAATAACATCTGCTTCTCAGGGTTACAAGGAAAAGATTGTAGACATTAGGGAGGAAATTCTACGCAAGAGAAGAGCAGGTAAACTGCCAGGTGACACCACTTCTGTCCTAAAATCTTGGTGGCAATCACATTCCAAGTGGCCTTACCCTACGGTGAGTTTCAACTTTGATATTATCCCCTTGTAGCTTTCTGTTTAGCAAATTAATTATTTTTAATTAAAACCGTCTTTCGCTTGGAATAGGAGGAAGACAAAGCCAGGTTGGTGCAGGAAACAGGCTTGCAATTGAAACAGATCAACAACTGGTTCATAAATCAAAGAAAAAGGAATTGGCACAGTAACATTTCCTCAACTTCTGTTTTGAAGAGCAAACGCAAGAGGTAGGATTGTATTTAACATATATGGTCGTTTTGTTCACATAAGTTTGTTTTCATGAACTTTATATAAATATTTTTTTTTTCATTGTAATTTGGAAAAAAAGTAATGCAGGTGACATCAGCAGCCAACGATTGAAGTAACTGTGTGTGATACTTGACAAGTCCTCAACTTATGGAAAAAAGAAAAAGGAAAGTCTAGCATCAGTGAGAGAGCAATATTTGGCCATACAGAAGGAGGCCGCAAGGAACTTCGTATTTCTGATACAGTAAAAGGTTAGACCAGCGAATGAAGGGCGTCCTGATGTCTGATGTACCATCTCATAAAACTTTACGCGTATGTAACACGAAAAACTCGAACCAGGTAGCCTTTTTGTACCACGTTTATGTGGATCTAGCTAGACATAGAATTTTTGTATACTAAGCGTCTCTAAATTAAACGTTTGCTTTCTATATAATTTCTAATTTCTATGGATGAGAATGGCGACAGTTGTCTATAGCATTTTATGTATGTTTTGATGTGTTACATCCTGTAGAAATTTGGTATCAGTAGTTTGGAGTGAATCGCGGCAAACAACACTAGTTGTGTGCCGCTTTCCATTACGCATTCTGGGTGGTGAGGTTTGTTTATTACAAGCGCCTTTCTTCCTTGTGAGTTTTTGAATTTTGCAGTGTAGTTCTCCAAAAACCTTAATGCGAAATTGAAATTTTAAGGCAAAAGTACAACCCAAAAAAGACTTTATTTTGGTATGTTTCATAACAGCACACAATTAATTAACTTATCAAAGAAGGAAACAAAAGAACACAAACGACACCCAATCTAACGTTTAGATTCTATAGAAGCTGATTCAAGGGTGGTTTTATGAACCGGCCTGCCTATGGAACCATGCTCATTGGACAAAGGAGCGGCAAACCTTGCTGCAAAATCAACAGCAGCATCATTTCCTTCTCTAGCAACACCTCCATCAAAATTGAGAGCATAACTATGAAGATCATACTGTAACCTAGTATTCTTTTGCTTTTGTTTCTTGGACAACCTGTTGTTTTGTTTTTGCTTCGTAGTCTTGCAATATCCCGCAATCTTTCTGATGAAGGTCTTCCACTTGGAGCCGTCCAATACTCGAGTAGACTCCTTAGCCTTGTTCAATTTCTTCCTCCACCACCATGTCGTCTCCTTGTGCGATCCACCTTCTTGCTGCAGCAAGTATTTACGTTCATAATCGTTGTCGTGGTTTTGCCGCCATGTACATGATGTGAACCCAAAGAGGCCAAAACAACCACCAACACCGCAAGGAGAAGAAGAAGAAGAAGCATCATGGTCTTGATGATAGTCATCCAAGTCTTCTCCTTCATCACGTTCATACTCGTAGATGGGCGAAGTGTGGTTCATGATCAAGGTTGGTTTGTGTTCATTGTTACTAGCCATCGCCATAATCATTAAGCAGAGAGAGAGAATGTAATCTGGGGTGAAAGACTCGGAAGGGAAAGGTCTTAAATAATAGGGGAAGCGATAGAGGAGAGTTCAAAAAGGGAAACAAAAATGAGGAAATATCAAAGAAAGAAAAGAAGGGTGGTTGGTCGCTTGGTGCTAAAACTTGTTGTTCATCGCGCTTAAACCTTGCTAGAGAAGAAATAGAATTCCGAAATAAAACAAAGCAAGGAATTGTTGTGGGATGGGATGCAATAAGGTTTGACCAGTGGTGTGGCCGGCTCAGTTGCTACGCGGCGTCGTTATGGGAAACAATATTTGACAATGAAAGCCCAAACCTAGCGATCGAAACGCGTCTGGGATTGTTGGGCTTCGGCTTTCCTTAATTAATACCCACAAAAAATAAAATAAAAACACAACATACGCACACGTTTTACTGTAGGACGACCTGGTTCTTATTTGAACAGTTGACTAATAGATTCCACAAGAAATTTATTTCCCGGTCCTGGTTCTGGTTCTTATCCAAGGAACGAAACGATCATGTCCAAATGTTTGTGACTTAAAATCTTCATGTACCTTGTTAAGCATAACCCATGAAACCAACCAACCTCGCTCCTTGTCTGTTATGGTACGCAACAGCAGACTATGGGAAATGTTGTATGTTGCTTCCTACCTAATCCAATCCAAACTGACGAAGCCAAAGCAAAAAATGCATACAAACCAATCCAATCCTCGTGCTTGTATTGACGTGTCAAAACGTGATGGAAAACACTTGATTCAAAGGCAAACCTAACTGAGTTGACACTTCTATAAGATGTAAATATTTCTGTAGAACAATGAAACGGCTTCTTCCCCTATCACATTAAAACAAGACACATTAGTTATCTTCCAACTGCCTCAACCACACACCCAAATAAAGGCCCATGGGATGATGGGAGAGACATCTATGATGATGCAACTTGACTGATATATCATTTTTGAATCTGAGGCTGTGTAGAAGGGGGTTGCTGCAGTTGGCTTTGTCCTTTAGGAGGAATCTTTGCGGTCATAGCACGTAATTCGTTTGCAATTTCAGTGAAGTTCAGCCTCTCAGTTGGCTCCGAAGACCAGCATCTCTCCATCAGTGATTTCCATTCTGGATCACAAGAGTCCGGGACTGGTGGCCGCAATGTATTGCTCACAATACCCCCTGCATTATATTATGAAGAACTGGCTATCAGCATCTCTAAATCCGAGTGAAATCTTAAAAGGACTGAGCATGTTTTACAAGTGACAAGTTATTAAGCAGTAGAAGATCACCTATGATAGCACCGTAGTGCAAATCTGCATATGGTTCGTCTCCGGTGAGGAGCTCCCACAACACAATACCAAAAGAAAACACGTCTACCTAGTGTACCCAAAAAACCCAAGGGTAAATAACTAAACAATAAAAACAGGTTTAAGAGAGATTCACAATCATTTGAGATGATCTAGAAGAAATTAAAAAAGAAAATACAAACCTTCTCAGAAACAAGGCTACTGCCACCATTCAACAGTTCTGGTGCCATCCATGGAAGCGTTCCCCGCACACCACCGGAGATCAGTGTATGACATTTCACTTTAGATAGGCCCAAGTCACCAACCTGGCATCAGAAGCAGATGGTAAACTCAATCTTATAAACAGTTCAACCAAATACAGAGCATGTCACACTGGATCAATGTTTTGAACTGCATATTGCCAATACAGTGATACTGCTGAAAATAAAAGCATATCAACAAAAAGAGGCACATTATAACATACGAGAAATCAAGTGAAGTAGGCCAAGCTCGACTCATTCCCATCCAGACAAAGCTTTATCATCTAATTAAGTTCTACAACAAAAAGAGAGAAAAAAAAAATAGCCGAAACTAGGTATGGTAATTCGAAGAGTAATTCTGTTTAAAGTTTAAAGGCGGAAAAGTGCTCTATTTTTGCTCTTGTTCAGCTCACAAGAAGCATTAATTTTCCTTAAGTTTTCAACAACAAATGCATGCTCTCTAAAATGATACTGCATTTAAAAAAGATTGTGGCTTATTATACGAAAAGAAAGATCACATCAACCACAGAACTGACCAGAATGAGAATGACCAACATTCCAATCACCTACCTTGCATATTGGGCGGTGTGGATCTCGAAGATTGACAAGTAAGTTGTCACTTTTCAAATCAAAGTGTACTATGTTCTTTTCATGCAGGTACTCCATCCCAAATGCCACATCCATTGCAATCAAGAGACGCTTGCGCTTGTCCAGACTCCTGCTAAAATGAATTCTGCGTCACCTTTTATCCAATTGGAAATTACATACCAACTAGTCAACTACTGCATTCATTCTAATTTTATCAAATTAATGCAAGGAAAAAAAAAAAGCCAAACAAACACATTACTTCTCATTCTTCTGCAAGGCATTTCTGAGAGAGCCATTAACCATATACTCTGTCACTGTTGCCACAGAACCTCCCGGCCCATCAAGCACAACGCCATAGAAAGCTACCACATTGGGGTGGTGCAAGTCAGCAAGTTTGATGGCCTCATTCCAGAAATCTTCTCTCTGATTGAATACAAAATCTTTCTGATTATGTAAGTGAGGTATTAATAAACAAAAATTAATAGCTTTTGGAATCTAGTGCAAAAGACAAACCATGCGCTCTTGTTCTGAAGGCTTCCCAGCAAAACACCTATCATTTATTCTTTTAATTGCAACATCAGTGCCCCTCCATTTCCCGTGATAAACAGTACCAAAAGTTCCGGAACCCAATTCTCTCAGCTCTTCAAGGTCACAGTTCTTTATAATCTACCAAAAGAGTAGAAACCGGTCAATGGTACAAGTTATCAGAATAAGGAAAAATAGAAAACCAAATTTTCACCTGCAATCGGCCTCGGCTATCAGATACCGGAAAACCAAGATTTGCCTTATCTCCGAATTTGGTCTTGACATCCTGAAATAGAAAATGGAAATTAGGAGTCCAACAAATGTTTTGAGAGAGAGAGAGAGAGAGAGAGAGAGTGTGTGTGTGTGTGTGTGTGTGTGAGAGAGAGAGAGAGAGAGAGAGAGTAGTAGACACACAACCAATGAAAATGCTCAAACATGCACATAGATGGCTTCTTAAATACCTCAACTTTCGCTCTGTTTTGCATGCCTGCAGTATTGTTTTGAACATCTTCATCTTGATTGGATTGATAAGCATACTCATCTTTATCATGTAAGTCAGGATTTGACAGCGAAGATGACTGAAAAACACAGGCAGCTACTCCCTCAGCAACAGCTTGAAGTTCTTGCTTTATTTGTTCCTCGGCTGATCCTATGACAAAGAAACAAAACAACATTCTAATTAAGTAATTAACTTAATACTAGAGTAAAAATAAATCAACATTTAACTAACCTTTGGAAGACTGGGCAGGCTCTGAACTAAGATCCCTGTTCAAATTGCCCAGTGACTGCTGACCCCCATCATCCATTCGCATTTCTGTAAATGGTTCTTTTCTCAATTGTATTTTGGTTGGTTTAGGAGGCAAATGAGTATCGTGGCGCAAACTCCAAGGATCCTGATTGCTGAACAGTGAGTTTGAGGAGTCCTGGGGAACATCATCATTTGAGGTAACACCGTCCACATCATTAGGTACCATCTTGGACTGCAATCTTAAGTTCTCATCCTTCC